AGCAGGAACCAGTTGGCAAGGATTTCTGCAACCCCAACTGGGTCATGTTGTCAGTGGTTGTGTCACACAGTGTAGTTCATCTCAGATGCTCCTGCTCTGCTTTTCCTCTTGGAAGAGATGAGTGTGGTCAGCTCTGCTCTGCTGCTTCCTGTGGGAACTCCTGGTTTGTTTCTTCTCTTTGTCTCTTGCAGTTAAAGGAAGTGCCAGAGTTGCAAAAGGAGCTTCAGAGCATGAAAATAGCCCTTGCAGAAGCCAACCTGGACAAGGCTCGTCTTCTGCAGGAAGTTAGGAAATACAATCCCCTCTTCCAGCTCTGACAAGGGAGGCTCAGGCTGCAGCTGCCCAGGAGGAGAGGAGACCAGCACCAGCACCAAGGCGGCTACTTTCATTCTACTGCTGCTAAACGGGTCGACCTCCTGGAGACTGATGGCCTCAAGGAATGGAAACCAACTGTGATTGCAAAATACAGCTGAGAGAGGGAGGGAGGAAGGAAGGATGGTATTGCTGTCAGCCATCACCCTTCATGGTGACATCTAGAGATGGTCCATGTTGGAGTTTCTGCTTCTTTCAGCCTTCTTTGTTGTGTTCTTGCCCAATCATCATGCCAAGGAGCATAGCAAGAGGAGCACAGTGACTGCACCATGTCAGGAGAGGCAGAGAATATGTCAGATCGCAGAAAACACTGCTCAGCTCAGATGGGGAAGTACAAGACTGTCATAGGAAAAACAAACACAGGAGGTTGGTGGGTGTGAGAGATGCAGAAGGGGCTTCCACCCATGGAGGAAAGGGGCTACAACTCATTATTTCCTCAAGAACAGTCAGGATAGAAAAGAAATTCCTTCAGCCTTCTTTTTTCACTGGTAATTTGTGGTGTCAAGACAGACTTGTTAATTTTATTAGATTCAGTCTAGTTCATTCTCACTGAACCCCACCATGTTTGGCTTCATTGATGCAGAAAAACAAAGGAATTAATTTATTTAATTACAAACTGCTGTTGAAACTTCTCTTAATTTCACTGTCAAAAGAGCAGGGGTGAAGGAAGTTGATGAAGTCATGGGATGAGATGACCTGTGGGTTTTCTTTAGGATAGGTCTTCAAACCATTGTATGCCAGTTTCACCAGTGGGCAGAGGGAGAGCAGTACTGGTCATACAAGGCAGTAGCTGCTTGTCTTCCTGCACAGTTGGGTGTTTAATTAGCACTGAGTCTTAAATGTCCTTTTAGCAGGGCTGTTGGTGTGTGGGGCAGGGGAAAGGTGCTGAGCAGCCCCCTGGTGAAGCCTGACACTGTTCACTGCTCCCTGTGGAGTGGAGATGGAGCAGTAGCTGTTGGGTTGAGCATGGTTTGTCTGCTCCCCTTTTCTGGAGCTGCTTCCCTGAAGAGGAGGAAGTCTCTGTGGTCAGTGACTGACTTGATTTATAAAGAAAAAGCCTCTATGAGTGTGGAGGGGGCAAAAAAAAAGGAAACCCTAGTATATTAGGAAGTAAACAGTGATTTTAAAATGTCATTTTTGAATGGCAGGAATCAAATCCAGTCCTGAGGGCAAATGGTACCTGGTTTCTTGACCTGGTCTGGGCCATATGAGGTGATGTGCTGAAGGAGGCAGCTGAAAAGGGGCAGTGGTGAAGGGAGAAGCTGCTCCAGAGAACTTGCTCCATGTCCTGATAGAGGGGGGTCTGATCTGCAGCCCCTCAGTGCTGTGGCTGAGCACCCATTCCCTCCCCTTACACACACCATCCTCACTCTCTGCACTGTGGCTTTTGTCTTAGTTCAGACTTTGATTTGGGTTTTTCCAGATGTGTTCTGTGTTTGTGTAAAGGTCCCACTTCTCATGCACAGGTTTTTTGGTGCCTGCAAGACAGGTAGTGACTGCCACACAGT